GCATGACCATGACCTAATAACTTCACAGGGCTTTGCCTCCAAATAACATCACATTACTGATCAGATTTCAATTTAAGAGTTTGGCAAAACCCAAGAGTCTTATTTTTTTTTTAATTTTTAAAATACATTTTATTTTTGCCCCCCACCTTAAGGCACCTCTCTTCCCTTTGGAGAAAGGAAGCTTTGTTTCCATTTTTTCCTTCTATTTTCACTTGTTTTCTTGTCCCTTCCTCCTTCCCTGTTCCCCTTCCCATTTGAACATTTTCTTCCCATTTCCTAATATCTACTATACATTTTAATCCTTATTACCACTTTTGGGTTCTCATACCAGAGAAACAATGTGTCCAATTTACTTTACTGAGGAGTATGGTCTTAAGGTCCATCCATTTAGCTCTAAATGTCTCAAGCTTATTCTCTATGACAGAGTAGTATTCCATTGTATAAAACCACATCTTCTTTATCCATTTATTAGTTGATGGGCATTTGGACAGTTTCCATGATTTAGCTATTATAAACTGTGCTGCTATAAACATGAGCATGCATATGTCGCTGTGGTATGATTCTTTTAATTCTTTTGTGAAGATACTAAAATGGGGAATAGCTGGGTCAAGTGGAACTTCTAGTTTTAGTTTTTTGAGAAATCTCCACACTGATTTTTCACAATGGTTGCACCAGTCTACAGTCCCACCAACAGTGGAGAAGTGTTTCTTTTCCCCTCACATCCCCTCCAGCATTTGTTATTGGTTGATTTCTTTTTTTTTTTTTGGTACTGGGATCGAACTTGGGACTTTCTGCTTGTGAGGCAGAACCACTGAGCTAAATCCCTGGCCCTGGTTGATTTTTTAATAGCAGCCATTCTTTCTGGAGTTAGGTGGAATCTCAGCTTTTTTTTTTTTTTTTTTTTTTTTTTGGTACCAGGGATCAAACTCTGTTCCTTGCACTTGCGAGGCATGCCACTGAACCACTGAGCTAAATCCCCGGCTTCAGCTTTGTTTTTAATTTGCATTTCATGAGTGACCAATGATGTTGAATTTTTTTCCTTTATTTATATGCCATTTCTAATTCTTCATCTCAGAAGTGTCTTTTCATTCCAGATGCCCATCTTTGGATTGGGTCTTTAAATTGGGGGGGATCTGGGTTTTTTTAGTTTTTATGTGTTCTAGATAATAGTCACTTGCCTGATGAATAGCTGGTAAAAATGTTTTCCCTTGCTGTGGTTTGTCTCTTCATCTTGTTGGTGATTTCTCTTGCTGTGCAAAAAGTTTTAGTATGATTAGATCCCAGCTGTTGATTCTTTGTAGTATTTCCTGTGTGGTCTGGGTTTTGTTTGTGAAGTCTTTGCCTACTCCTTTGTCCTCAGGTGTTCTACCTATTCTCACTTCCAGCAGATTTAGTGTTTCTGTTTTAATATTTAGATCTTTGATCCATTTTGATTTTAGATTAGTGCATGGTGAAAGATTTGGGTGTAGTTTTGATCTTTGGCATTTGGAAAACCATTTTTTCCAGCACCATTTATTAAAGAGGCTTTCTTCCAGTGAAGGTGTTTAGCTCTTTTTCCAAGATTACATGGCTGAGTATGCCTGGAGTTGTTTCTGAATCTTGTAGTCTGTTCCATTGATCTTCATGTCTATTCTTGTGCCAGTACTATGCTGTTTTTATCACAGTAGCTTTGTAGTATAATTCAAGTCAGGATTGTGATACCCCCTGGCTTTCCTTTGTTGTCAGAATTGCCTTTACTATTTTAGGTCTCTTATGGTTCCAAACCAATTTTAGGGCTTGTTGTCTCTAATTCTGTGAGATATGCATCTTGGAATTTTACTTGAGATTGCATTAAATCTGTATAACAATTTTGGAGGTATAGCTATTTTCACATATAATGGTTCTTGCTATCCAAGAATAAGGGATATTTTTACATTTTCTGACATCTGCTTTGATCTTTTTTTTAGAGTGCTGTAGTTTTCAATGTAGAGGTCTTTAACTTCCTTTGTTAGATTAATTTCTAGGTATTTCATTTTTTTGGATGCTATGTGAAAGGGATCGTTTCTTTAATTTCTCTCTTTGCATTTGTTATTCGAGTATAGGAATGCTACTGGGGTTTTAATTAATATTTTATTTATTTTTTTATACTTTTTATGGTACCAGGGATTGAACTCAGGACCTTGTGCTTGTGAGGCAGGTGGCAGAACCACTGAGCTAAATTCCTGGCCTGCTATTGGTTTCTGAGTATTGACTTTGTATCCAGCTACACTACTGAATTTGGTTATCAAGTCTAGAAGGCTTTTGGTGGAGTTTTTGGAATCTTCTATGTCATAGGAGTATCATGTCATCTGCATATAATGATAATTTAAGTTCTTCATTTCCTGTCCTTATTCCTTGTATTTCTCTCTTTTGTCTAATTGCTCTGTCTAGTGTTTCTAGAACTATATTGAACAGTGGACATCTTTTGTCTTCTTCCTGATTTTAGAGTGAAAGCTTTCAATTTATGTTCATTTAGTATGATGTTGGCTGTTAGTCTGTTGTAGATAAAAACCATCTGTGCCAATTTTTTGTAGGGTTTTTTTCATGAATGGGTGTTTGACCTAGTCAAACACTTTTCTGCATCTATCCAGAGGATCATACAGTTTTTGGCTTTGGCTCTGTTCATATAGTGTATTACATTTATTGATTTGCATATGTTAAACCATCCCTGCATCCCTGGGAAGAATCCAACTTGGTCATGGTGTATAACTTCTTGAAGACTTGCTGAATTGTTTGCCAGTATCTTATTGAGGATTTTTGCATCTATGTTCATTAGAGAACTGTAATTCTTTTTGGTTTTGGGTCATTCTCTGGCTTTGGAATCAGGGTAATACTTGCTTCCAGGAATGAATTTGAGAATATTTTTTCTCTTTCAATTTTATTAAAGAGTTTGAGAAGTAATGGCATTAGGTCTTCTGTAACTTTCTTGTAGAATTCAGTAGTGAATCCATCAGGGTCAGGGCTTTTCTTTGTTGGTAGTTTTTAAACTATATGCTCAATTTAGTTGGCAGATACTGGTTTATTTAGAAAAAAACCAAACAGTATGTAGTTGGGAATTTTTGTTGAAGTAGACAGTGTATGTATGTTTTCTATTTAAGGAAAAAAACTTGTTTTTTTCCCCCCTGTTGTTTGGATTAATAAAAGTACAACTTTGGAGGCTTCCTAATTAGTCAGTGAAGATTATTAATTTAATTTTGGGGCTGTAGGTGTAGCTCATTGGAAAAACATTTTCCCAGGATATGTGAAGCCCTTAGCTTGATATTCAGCATTGCAAAAACAAACAAGCAAGCAAGCAAATAAACTTTTTTTTTTCCTTTGCTAGGGATTTCTATACCTTCAGAAGTTTAGAGGGCTTTATTGGAATTACACTTTTCTATAAATACATTCATTGCTGTGAATAGATTTGTTATCTTTGTACTTTATTCATTTTGAGCCTCAGGCAGAAAAGGTAATACAGTCCACCCTTTGTGGGAGATTGTTTTCAGCACCCCCTTGGAACCAGAATCCATGGATACATGAGTCCTTTATATAGAATGGCAGTTTATTTGCAGATAACCTGCACAAATCTTTTCAGTCATTTCTAAATAATGTGTAATACCTAATGTGATACAAATGCTTTGTAAGTTGGGTTTTGTTTTAATGCTGTTTTTACATCTAAGCTTTTTTTTTTCAAGGTTTTTGTTGTACTATAAAGAGAATTATGATAGTGAAAAAGTCTGTATGTGTTTAGTAGACAGGGTTTAAAAACAAATATTTCTGTCCATGATTGGTTAAACTTGCAAATACATGGTAATAATTTATTTATTTATTTTTGGTACCGGGGATCGAACTCAGGTTCTTGCACTTGCTAGGCAGGCAGCGGAACCACTGAGCTAAATCCCTGGCCCTTAAACTTGCAAATACAGAGGTCTGGGTATACTTTATAAAAGTGAAAAAAAGGTAGTTAACTGATAGTAGCTTAGGTATAACCAAAGTTGTATTAGAATTCACATCTTACTCTGTATTTTTTTCACAAATTATAATTCATTGTATGATCTTAATTACTTTTCTGTGTTTCAGGAGTCTTGTCAGCCATTAATTTTTATCATCTGTAAAATGAGAGAGTTCAAGTAGATTAGCCTCATTTTTTTTTTCCTACATAAATCCAGGCTTTTTTGTTTGTTTTTGGCTGTGCTGGGGATCAGACTCAAAGCCTGTCACTTGTAAGGCAAATGCTGTACCACTGAGACACATCCACAAGCCTATTAATCTAGATTTTAAAAAAATTTTTGTTTTAAATTTTGAGATAGTCTCATCATGTAATCCTGGTTGGCCTTGAAGTTGTTCTGCAGCTCAGATTGACCTCTGACTCAACCTTGATATTCTCTTGACTCAGTCTCCTTGGTACCAGAGTTACAGGTGTGCACCACTATGCCTCACTTAATTCAGTTTTTAAACTTTCTTTATATATCATGGATTAGAATCTCTCAAAATAATTTAACCATTCTTGTTGCTTTTATATGATTGTTCATTGTTAAATTATGTCTATGATTTGATTCACTCATTGATAGTTTTTCCCATTATGTTTTAAGGGCAAAATCCTTCCCAATCTTGTTTACTACTTACTTATTGTGTTTACCTAGCTCCATGCTTCAAATGTAGTTAACTGCTCAATAAATTCATAGAATAAACGAGTGATTAACAAATGATAACATCGGCATGGGTGGTATAGGCAGCATAAGGTTGTAGAAAGAATATGCCCAACTCTTTGGCTCCTTACTTTATATCAATGATACAATATTTTAGAGGTTGTTGAGAAGAGAACTTGGGATGGTAAGAAGTACAAAGCCTTTTACTTAAAATGTTAGTTCTTCTTTTTAATTTCTTATTTCAGTCTGCTTAAAGACCAACATTTTTTTAATCAATGTATTTTTATATAAGCTGGGCACATTTGTGTATACTAGGTTGAATTTTAATAAGCTTTGTTATTTTTTCTCTTAAAGTTTTACATGTGGCACCCATAAAAGATGAGGCTGAGAACACGAAAAGCTTCTCAGCAGTCCAATCCAATCCAAACACAACGCACTGCCAGAGCCAAAAGGAAATATTCAGAGGTTGATGATAGCCTGCCTTCACGAGGAGAAAAACCACCGAAGAATGAGACTGGCTTATTGTCTTCAATTAAAAAATTCATTAAAGGAAGCACACCCAAGGTAGTGTTTTTGTCATATACTTACACTTTTTAAAAAAAGAGATTTAGGTTGTATTCTCTAAGCATGTATACATGAAAAATTGATATTGATAGAGAATGTCTGTATTTTGCTGTTACTTTTAGGATTATCACATGCTAAATATTTAATGGAGGTTCAAGGTGAACATTATTCTGTTGAACTAATGGGGAACAAAAGAAAAATTTTCCTTTTTTATTTGAGGTTTAAAATTTTTTTAGTTTGTATTTTCTTACATTTTAAAGAAAAAGTTTCCTGTTAATGTTTATTTGCTGTATATTTAGGTAGGTGATTTGTCTATCAATTTCAAATGCTATTTGTAGAGTGAAATGTATTAAAGAGAAAACAAAATTACTTAAAGAAAGAATGGACAGTGACATATAAGTTTATTACTTGATAAGTAGAAAAATTGTTGACTTATGTGGTAGATTTTGCTGCAATAAAATTAATACAGCTTAGTAACTTTGATTCATGATCAAGATTTTGATGTATTCTGTTTATGTAGGATTTGGTACTTTTTTGTTTGTCTTGAGACAGGGTCTGCATATGTGGTTCATGCTGGCCTTGAACTCATTGCAGCCGAGATTGTCCTCAAACTCCCTGTAGTCTTCTAGCCTCAGCCTCCTGAGTGCTGGAATTATAGGCATACACTACCACACCCAGCCTTGGTACTGTCTTTGTCTGTGATTTCTTTTGTCAATTTTGTTTCTTTGAATAAATTTGACTAATCCTGGAAGTATTCTAGTGAAAAATTAATCATGTGACAAAGATCAAATTTCTTCCAGAAAAATGAATTCCCATCTCCTTAAATTCCTAATGGGTTTTCATCAGCCTCTATTGATGGAAAAGGTAACTATTTATTAGCTTATTCTCCTGTACAACAGCAATTGTTATTCTTCGTAGTAATTCAGAATTACTCTTTATTTTCTCATATATTCTTTTTTAGTATTCTTTCACTAGAAGACAGGTGCTGTGTTCCCTTAAATTTGCAAGTGCAAATCCCTACTCATTACTTAGCCTGAATATTTCTAGATATTATTTTATGATACCTAAGATATATATGTCTAAGCATCTTGGTTACTTTTTTTCTGTCATGAAATATAACAACCAGAAATGAAAATAAGTTTTTCCTGTGTCTTGTGACTTCTGTTCATATTATTTCCTCTGACCTGTTAATGTGACTTCATGTTGTCCTAAACCTTTAGTTGTTAGTTGTCTTTGTTGGTTAACAAATTTTTCTCATGTCAATTAAGTAAATAGAATGGAAAATATGTTTGCGAATTAATGTCTTATTTATTAATTAATAGCTTTGGGTAAGGTTTTTCCTGTAGCTACACATTTACTTATATGTACTGTTACTCAGCTTGGATTTCTTTATCATATTTTATATAATTGTTATGGAAAATAGTACTGTATTTAAATGCATTGCTGACATCAAGGTACATTGGGTTTTTCCCAGTCTGCTGACCCAGTGTTTAAAGTAAAAAGTAGTTTGTCATATATCAGTTGTAATGGCCTCTAATTAATTTGCTGTTTTATCTACATCATCGTAAAACATCTTCTCATTATTCTAGTTATCTTACATGATGCTTACTTACGTATGCATCGTAAATACAGTATCTTTTTTTTTTCAGAAATTGGAAAGGAGTTCACAGCTGATAATGAAATGCTTTTATATTTATATTTTCTTAATCTTTATGACCATCTTTTGATATTTTATGGAAGAGAAAACTAAGACTTAGTGAACATAGGTAAATATTGTCAATAATAGCTGTACTCATAATAATAAATAACTTGCTTAGGATAAAAGATTAATAACAACATAACAGTTTCTGATGCTTATGGAACAGTTACTATATGCTAAGAGCTCTGTTCTGAGCATTTTCTAATTTAATGATTTACTTAAAGCCTTAAAACAAGGTAGGTCCCACCATCGCTCTATTACAGATCAGGACAGGGGCACAGGGAGGTTAAATAACTTGTGGAAGATTACTCAGCTTTAAATGGCAAGAATGGAACTCAGTTATCCTGTTTTCAGAATGTACACTCGGTTCCTATGCATTCAGCATCTCTAGTAACTGACAGTGCTAGAATTTTTTATTTTTTATATTAGGGGTTGAACCCAGGGCCTTCACACTGAGCTATATCCCTAGCCCCTTTTTAAATTTTTTATTTTAAGACTGGTTCTTGGTAAATTGCCCAGCCTGGGCTTATACTTGTGATTCTGTTGTTGCCTTGACCTCCCAAGGTGCATGGATTACAGGTGTGCCCACCTCATCTGGCCTTACCGACCTTGGTGTCTTCAACTCAAGTATATTGGATTCCAATACCCATGCTATTTCTCCTTTACTGTTCTGTCTCCAAAATATCTAGATACTGCCTTTATCTAATTAGTGTAGGGATAGTAAATTTCTTGTGTGGAAATTATTCTTGGTGAAAGTAAAAAAAATTGGTTCTTGCTGTTCATTTTGTCATTAATTTATATTGTCATTGGCTTAAAGCTTGAAGTATGTTCTTTTTATAGGAAATATTTTTCTGTAATATTTTGCACATGTGCTGTCTTTAGTCCTTTTGACTAGATAATAGACCACTCTTTATTTTTTACTAGTGTCCTTTTCAAACCCAATTTAGTTATTCATCTCTGTGCTGCCACCTTTGGTTTCCTTGGTACTTTTCCTTTTCTTTTGGATTTGTATGGCTGTGTGAGTAGACTTGAAAGATTTAGATAAGCATGAGCCTGGATTTTAGAAACTTCTTTGACTCCTTTCTTAGCCCATTTTATTTGCTTTCTTTTGCTGTTATCTAAGATCACATGCCTACTGGTATTCTTGCTGTACTGCTTGCTTGCTTGCTTGCTTGCTTGGAGTAGTTGACTGGGTATTGAACCCAGGGTATTCACACTGAGCTACATCTCCTGTCCTTTTTAATTTTTTCTTTAAAAAAAATTTTTTGAGGCATGATCTTGATATGTAGTTCAGGCTAGTCTTACACTCATGGTAATCCTCCTGCCTCAGTTTATGAGTGCTGGGATTACAGGCGTATACTCCATGCCAGACTTTTTCTGTTTATTTTGAGACAGGATCTTGTTAACTTCCCTAGGTGGAATTTGAACGGAATTCTACTGCCTGAGCCCTCGAACAGCTGGCTAGTGTGTGCGGCACTATGCCCAGCTTCTGTTTTTATGTTACTAACCAGGTTTCATCTGTACTCTCTTCCTGATTTGCCATAAATTAAGCATAAAAGTATTCAGGTTATCAAAACATAGGTTGTTGGGCCAGGGATTTAGCTCAGTGGAGCTGTGCCTGCCTCACGTACAAGGTCCTGAGTTCAATCCTTGGTACCAAAAGAAAAAAATGTAATAGGTTGTTCACTTATGAATATAAGTATATACTTATATATACTTATTTGCTTTGTATGCATGCTAAAATGCTATACTCATTTGCCAGGGCTGCTGTAATAAAATATCACACACTGGGTAGCTTAAATAGTATTTTCATAGCTGGGCATGGTATCATACTTCTGTAATCCAAGTATGGGAAATTGAGGCAGGAGTATCAGGAGTTCAAGGTCACTTGCGCTATATTGCAAGTTGAAGGCCACCCTGGACTGTATGCTAAGACCCTGTCTCAAAATAACAACAACAAAAAGACTTTTTTTTCTTTGGTACTGGGGATCGAAATTGGGATCTTGTGCTTGCAAGACAAGTGGCAGCATCAATAAGCTAAATCCCTATCCCCTAATCTTTTCTTATAAAGATACCAGCCATGCTATTTTAAGAACCATCCAAACAAATCCTTTATGTTTTAGTTTTCCTTTTTATTTTCTATTTTTCGGGGGTTTTTTTGTGTGTGGGATAGGGTCTTGCTATGTAATCCTGGTGGCCTTGTGCACACTCTGTAACCCAGGCTGGCCTTGAACTTACAGAGATTCTCCTGCTTCAGCCTTCCTAGTGTGGTAATTACAGGTGTGTCCCACCACCCCCAACCAGTTACACTTTTTCAGACCCAATCTTCAAATATAGTCACATTCTAAGGTACTCAGTTAAGTCTTCAACATATGATTGGGTGCATAGTTGGTGAAGGCATAGGTTCAGGCCATAAAATAACAAAGCCACCTTTTCCTCTGTTCTTAAGTACTGTTAGGTTTTCATAGATAACAATTTTTTTTTTTTTTTTTTTTTGT